CATGTAGTGCTATACATGACTGCTTGACAACCATGCAGTTACTTGTTTGGAAACAATGCACTGCAAGTAAGTAATTCCCTATGAAAAAACAGAAATGCTTAAGCTTCTTGAGGTGTTGTTTGCACAAGCTTACCTTTTCCCCTCAGATTTTTGTCTTAAAAATTTAGCAACTGTAACTGTCAAGTCACTGTAAATATAGATGGACAATGGGATAGAAAGAGTAGGTAACTTTAAAAAGATCATTCAGATTTCAAAGTTCAGGTGTAAATATACTGCTAATTTGAAAATCTGATGGAGTTGCATATTACTGTGAGTTGGGCTTTCAGAAACAGTTTCTGCATCAGCTCAAAATCTTGTGCTAAAAATAGTCTTGACATCCAGGTATGCTCTGTAAACATGTGTCTACTCTTTAGACATTTAATTCCGATATTATAGTCCTGTCTGAGACTTTGGAAATGGAGGTAACTTTTCACTGGAGAAGAGACTTGCTGAGGATTTAAACCCTGTGTTGTTGATCCAGGTAGAAACTGTTCCTTACAGTATCCTGTAGATAGACTGTCCAAACTTAACCTTCTGCATATTAACTAAGAGGAAAGAAATGAAAAACATATTAGAACCAATAATGTTTGATTTGCAGGGAACTAGTAATTCCAGCAGCTTGCTTGGATCATAAATATAGCTAACTTTAAAGCTTACTTCCAAAACCTCAAAGAATAGTTGCTTTTTCTTCCTCTGTTCTATTTTTGTAGCAGTCAGCTTTTTTCCTGTGGCATTATTAAACAAATTTTATGATCAAAAGACAAATTAATTTTTGGATAAAACCATGCTAAGAGTTTAAGGTGCACTGGACATTGGACATTTGTACAGATCCTCTAGCCTTTATTGTCAGCTTGGTGAGGCATGTAAATTTATATAGATCATGCTCTTTCTATAGCAACGATTACTTTATCATGCTTTTGTCTGGTTGATATGTTGCCTGTCAGAGTTGTTGCATAGCTTGCAGGTTAAACGTGCTTCCTCGCTGTCATGGCACACCAAAAAATAGTGTTGCTCTTGGAGTTTGTGGCAGCCTTTGGTGGGGTTAGAATATTTGAGTCTGTAAAAATAGACTCTTAAGATCACCTGTAACTCATTTTTTTTCTGCACAGCCTCTTTCTTACACCTGTCTTGAGTTGACACTTTTTCTGCGACCTTTGGTAGTGATTGAATTTACTGTTGAATGCATCGGAATTAAATCCTGTCTCCTACCATAACCTACAGTTTTCTCTATCTACTGGTGGAAAAGGCTGGCTTTTCTTTGTTTCTGGTTGTTGTTGTTTGTTTCTGATCGTTAACTTTAATTTTTATTGATTCGAGTGTAGGAACAGCTTGATCTCCCTCCTCCTCTTCTCTTGTTGGTTATGTTTTTATAGTGTGATCATTTTATCCACCTGGATAACACTGCCTACAAACCCTGTTCACTTCTCTGCCTCTTTCCTTATCCAGGCAAGCTATCACAACTCAGGTTTCCTGCTCCCTACAGGAAACATCTCTAGGCCTTCCAGAGCTGTCAACCTAGTTTTGTTTTGTTAACTGATAGTTGACTTTACAATGCCATGGAATGCAATTCAAATTTGGGATGACTGCTTTTGTTCCCTGCTCCAAGAAGCTCTGTCTCTGAACACAGACTAGGGAAAACTCTGGATCACTTCAGCAACAAAATGTGTTTATAAAGAGCCCCATTCAGTTTTGGAGGTTAGTCCACTGTAGTTGTAAAGGGAGAGGAAGATTTATAAAACAGTCCCCAGCTTTCAGCTTCCTTTGGAAACTGACTGGCCCACAGTTCCTCTTTTGGCAGCAGAGAACCTATCACTTTTGAGAGGCAATGAGGAAAAATGGAGGGGAAGCAGTACTTAAATGTGGTATGTCTGTGGGATACTGAGGACAACTGTAAGAAAGATGGGTAAGAGGCCAGAGTATGGGTATTCACTGACATAGCTGTTGGGAATGGGAGCTTGTTTTCCCCATAGTCAGGCTGGGATTGTGAAGATTCCTGTGATAGGGAAATTAGGGCAGATACCATGTCTCTGTGAGCCAATGACATGGACCAGGATGCCTGACTGGAACCTAGAGGCTTTTGCTGGGCTTTAGTGAGACCAGAGAACTGAACTTAGTGTATAGTTCAGAATGTTTTCATTGGTGCCTGTCTGTGAGCACACATGTGGCTACCAAAGCATTGGTCAGAAGTGGCTTCTCATCCCTTCCCCTTGTGACATTTCTGCACCTATCTGGAAACAGCAAGGAGTTTTACTTGTTGAGGCAGGGGGTGTAAGCAAGGGTGACAGAATGGCCTACTGTTTAGATTTATTCAATCTATACAGAATAGAACTGCAGAGACTCCAGATGTATGGATTATGCCTGTATTTTTCTTTAATTTCTTTCTCAAAATCTAATTTGTATTTTTGTCAGGAAATCTGCTCTGCATTGTGTAATGGCTGTTCCTTCACCAGTACCAACTTCACTAACCTTCTGTGAATGCACCATGAAGGCATGCAAATAATTCCTAAAAGCTTTTCCCAGCTTTAGAGTTACAGTTCTTTTGACAGATATTTTACTTCTGTATTTCAGAACTACTTCTAGAAAAAGCAAACACTTAACTTGCTTTTACCTGGATTTATGAGGGCTGAGTGATGTTCAGCAGTGTGCTGGAGTAGACTGTAGTAAGTGTAGTTTTGTACTCATTAAATGGAAAAGCAAGTTAGCAGTTAACCAGAATGTTAGGAGAACAGCGTATATACATACGAGATATTTGTAGTCTCACCATGTGCTGGTCCTAAAGTAATAACTGAACCTTCCAGAGTTCAGGAGAAGTTTTCTGAATGATGTTTCATGTATTACTGTGTGCATCCATTATCATGTTTTCTTTTAAATACAGGTTTAAAAAACGGATGCTAATAGAACAGCTTGAGAGTTTTCTGGAAGAAATCCATCGCAGATCCAATCAGGTCAACCATATCAACAGCAGCTAGGAAACTGCACACAAGAGAAAGCCACAGCAGGGCACTGCTGTCCTTAATTGCATTCATTTTTGACATGCACTCTTATCTCCAAGTTCCTGTACCTGAAAGAATGAGCTGCTCTATAAAATGATGAGAAGAGTATCCATCATCTTTCTTTTTTTTTTTTTTCCCACTTCTGTTATTTTTGTAATGTGAAAAATACTACGAAAACACTTTTATTTAACTAAATGGAGAACTTCTTGCTTGTCATGGACATAAGTGTCACTTTCCCTCAGGTTCTATTTTTCTTAATCCAACCTTCAAAACTATCACCTCTTAAGGTTGAACTTTGCCAAAAAGTTGCTTTGTAATTTTCAAAAAAAAAAAAGCACATACATTAAGCAAGGTAATGTTTTGTATATACAGTTATTTTGGATATATTATTGTAAGTTGTATAAATGTATTTTGAAAAATATTTAAGAAAAGCACTTTTGTTATTCCATCAATAAAATCTCTATTTTAATCTTTGTGTAGGTTTGAGTACGGTTTTTGTTGGAGTGATTAATTTTGCCTTCCCTTTTCAGAGCTTATATATTCTAGTATCAGTGTTAAAGAATTAAGTGTTTTGTATTACTGGGTATTCCATTAATCAGAGAATGGGTGAAAGAAAACTAATGCTGAATTGCAACTACAGTAGGATGATATATTAGCCCTTCACTGTTTGGTGATGTTCTGTATGCACATTTGCAGCAGTGACAAACCCCTCAGTTCTACTGAGAGATAGAGTGGGGTAAAGCATGAGTCAGTAGGTTGCACAGGGTTTTTCTGTGTCAGAAGTTTTTACGTGTTTACAAGTGCAGGAATAGCCAGAAGGTGCTGCTGCTTGGACACAAAGTATCACTGATTGCTTTACTGGCCTTGTCTTTCGTCTGTGCTAGGTGTGCCCTGAATTGTTAGAAAGCTTTGTTTGATTCAGTGGGAGCTAAACCTCTCTGCTTTTTGTAGGAGTCAGTGGTTTGCAGTCTTCACCCAGAATCTCTGGGCCTTGGGTTCTGGTGCTTGTACTGTGAGTCGCTGAACACTTGCTGTATCCCAGCTTTTGTCAGGATGCTGAAAAACCTCGCATTTTCTAGATGATTTTAGCTTCATTCAGTGTTCTTTGGAAATGTCCATTTTATGTTGCATACACTTCAAAGGTAGTAAAGGTAGTACTGCTACTTTTTTTGGTAGAAATATTTGTTTGGTCACTGATTGAGTGGGTATTTCTGCTTCCTGTCTGCTCTGTCTGGAATAGGCTGCCCAGGGAAGTGGTGAAATGGCCATCCCTGGGAGTGTTCAAAAAGTGTTTAGATGTGGTGCTTAGAGACTTGGTTTAGTGGTGGATTTGGCAGTGCTGGGCTAATGGCTGGATTTGATAATCTTAGACACCTTTTCCAACCTTGATGATTCTATGATTCTGTGCCAGTTGTGAAAGTCTTTCAACTATTTTTTCTTTTCACAGCATCATGCTGTTTGCTTGATACCTTACTATCTCGGCTGGATTATATCTGTCTGGGGTCAGACTGAATTTCAATTTTATTCTTGAGCTTTTGACTTCAGGACAGGGAAATGAAATTGTGCTTGAAAAATAACATCACAAAACTTTCTTGTAGGATGCTTTCATTCAGATGACCTATATACTCAGCAACAGGCAAGCTTTTAGCCATGATGAAGTTAAGTAGCAACTGTTTGCCCATACTGTTCAACATTTAGGGGGCAAAATTTGTTCATTTTTTTTCTCAAATGTTTATATGCTTACTCTCTTTCCTGTAGTTGTGGTGCTCATGATTCCTAGACAGCTATAAGTTTCCAACAGTATGTACAATGTAATAAAGTAGTGGAGGGCTTACTCTCACTTTTTCTTGCATGAGTGTTACTGCTTAAAGCAGTGTTTTAATAAATACATATAATGTAGCTTTTAATTTCTTTGGAGGAAAGCTCACCATAGGAGGAACAGAAGACAGTTTATTTGTTTAGTGGTTATTATGAAGGATTTGTAACTCTTCCTATAAAGAGTACTGAACCTGTAAATGAAAACAATATTAATGTTATTTCAATTTAGAGGCTCACTTTCAAAGTGTAGTTCAGTTTAAATACATAAACTAAACATGGAATTAGGAAATCATGGAATCACTCATTGCTTATATGGAAAAACTGACTACAATTGCACCCTTGTCTTAGAATAATTTGAACATTTCTGTATTAAAAGCAAAAAGACCTTTTCAAGTAGTTGGTAGCCCAAACTAGAAGTTTGCCAAAATCTGAAACCTACCCAAACCATTGGCTAAAGAATCACTTCTGAACTGAGGAAAACAGAGCCTGAATTCGTTGCTTTGTGTTCGTGTTTTAGTTACAGAAGAGGTTATTACAACCCCTTGAATGAAATCACTGCCTCAGATACATTAGATTTGTTGTTGTTTGTATTGCTGTTACCTTGCCTGTCCTTCAAAGGGAATGTGTTCAAACGTGAAATTCAAATTAAAAAACTTAACTTTTTTAATTATTTTGAGCAGAACTATGCCATTTTAAGTCTTGGAAAATATATTTCTACTATTACTAGAAGATTGATGCAATGAAGACTCTTGGTCTGCATAATAATTCATTGTGAACTTTTGGACATAGTGAGTTTTAAGCACCTCTAGATGGCTTGGTAAAATATACCAACAGTCTATCTTGTTTACCCTTTCCCCTTTTCATACCTGAAAAAATTGTCACTAAGTCTGAGGAAACAAAATGACTCCATTAAAAAGCTAAAAGTACAGAAATGTACTTGTGATTTTGAGTTGATTGGAAAGTATTTTATACTTCACATAAAAATCTTGTTTTACAATCTGATTTCCTTCCTTTATATAACATATATTATAAACTGAGCCATTTTATTTACCAAAATCAGTTTGTTCTTAATCCTGAAGAGTCTGTGGCTCAGGCTTCACAGATGAGCTTATTGATGCCTTTTTATTTTAAAATTCTGTGTTAGCCAACTAAAAATACTTTTGTTCATTAACTGGTAATGATTGCCAAAGCACATTTAAAACAAAATGTCCACCAAGGTGTAGTGATTTTTCTCTTTAAAAAATAGCTGCTTGCATTGTGATGTTGAAATGTTAAGATACAGATTTTTAAAGCAGAATATTGCGTACACAGGTATTCACTGACTAAGAGAAGTGTGTTGCTTGGAAGCAGATAAGGAAAACTATTCTCTGTGGTCTTCTTATTAGGCCCCAGTATTTTACTGAACCCTATAAATTACTGTGTTCCCCACTTATGAGAGAAACTTGGTGGTTTGAAGGATTCATTTAAGCTGCAAATTTACTGCATTGCTAAGAATGGTAAGAGCTGTTGGAGATGGCCTGATGTTTCAGAGGAGCAAATACCTACTAAGTGGTGCATAATGCAATTTTTATTATTGCCAACGAGCTATATAGTGTTTTCTTTTGGCAGAGATTCTGGAATAATGTGATTGGACATCTGAAATGAGACAATAATACTGAAGCTAAAGGAGCACTGTGATGCTTCTCTCTCAAGATGTGCTCTGCAGTTTTGTTTGTGGTTTTGGTTGGATTTTTTTTGTTTGGGTATGGGGGTGGTCAAGAGTTACCAGTTGCAAAAGAAATGCTCTTTTTTTTTTTTTTTGGTAGAAGTCTGTTTGCTATCAGTATAGGCATGAGTAAGTTTTATTTATAGGGAAAGATCTCTATTTTAACTATTTCCAATGTTAATCTGGCCAGTTTGTAATTTTAATAGCCCTGTGGAGTTTAGTACTTAATGCTAGGGCATTTAAAATCTTTAAGATCTTTCTAGTGCCTAAAGCTGTTGTAGAAATCTCTGAGCTCGTACTGCATCTGGAGAAGAGGCTAATCTGACTTCTATGAGTTGTGCATTCTTTTTAAGGAAATTAAACCATAGTCTTTATGCTTTAAAAACCCAAACCCCACTGTTCCCATGTTTGATGAAACTTCCTGGATTGAAGAATGGCAGGCTATTTAGAAAGAACTGGTATTGATTTCAGTGCTACTTGTGAAGAATTCTGCTCCTGAAAGGCAGAGCATGCATACCTGTATTAACTTGTCTCAGAAAAAATGTGAAGGGTCGGTCTGCTTTGAAAATAGGTGTTCGAGATCTTTTTAGTAATACCATTGCTGTAACGCAACAAAGAAAAAACATTAGTAAAATGCATCCCTTTTCTTTGCATCTTCTGTACAGTGCCCTCAAGCTCTGATGTTTAGTACCTTGAGTTTTGAGTTGCTCCTCTGCTTTAACTATAAACCAAAAATTTTATCCAACAGTGAAATCAGTCTGAATTAATGAGTCCAGAGTCGTGAGACTACATGCAGGTGATTTGTGTGTATTTTGATGCTGAAGTGAGTCCTTCTGGCTTTGGATTTCAAAGGTAATGTAATTTTTGATGTTGTTGCAGCCCTTACTCTTCTGAAGTCATACCATGCTATTGCCTCACCTGTTAGCCAATTCTTGGCTGTGCTGTTCTGATGAAAAAGATAAGCAAGGCACAAATGTAGTCCCTTTTCTAATTGGGAGACATGGAGCAGAGAAGTATCTGTCATCCTGGAATTTCCCTTGTCAGAGCTCTGAACAAAACCAAAGTATCCTCAATCTCAAGTTATGATTGATTTTCCCTTCTCTGTTTGTGGGTTAATTATTAGATTAAATAAAGAATCCTTAAGAATTATGATGGCTCAGCTATTATTAAAATACATCTTCTTTAAATAAATTATTCCTTGTAGCTATGTAGTTTTAAGAATGCATTGTCAAAACACCCCAATACTAAAACCAGCAGATTTGGATTATTTTTTGAGATGTTAAAACAATGGAATTAATTTGAAAACTCAAGACACAGTAAAACTAGTTTGAGTTTTTTAGGCAGTGTTTTAATGCTCATAAAAAAGTGCCTGTTTTTGCTTTCAAGCCACCAAGTGACTAGATCCAGAACTTTTAAAGTAAACAAACATATTTTAAAATCAGCTTCTTGGTCTGACTGGAGTTAAGGGAGTTTTGGCATTGGTTTCAATGGGATAAAGATCTATTACCCTCAGATTGAAGCCATCTAAAAGCTTTTATTTTGTGTAGGGATTAGTAGAAAAATTATGAGAAGTAATAGAGAGGAAAATCGTTTCAAAATTTAAAACTGTATACAGCTCTGCAGAAAGGTTAACTTGGTTACATCAACTGTTCACTGTACACCCACCTGTGTACTACATGTGTCAGATTCAAAACTGTTTCTAGAGAAATACTATAAATACACCAACTCAGGTGTGCTCAGGTTCCTTTTGACATTGTGACTGTGGGACATTTGGGTGAGGGAATGTGCACACTGCAGTAAGGTTCACTGCTCTATGTGCCTCCTGAATTCCTTCTTGGAAGCAAGGAGGAGAAGTGGGAGAGACTCAGATCTTACCCTGATCCACAGTCAAGGACCACCACCAGCATTTGCATTGTGCGTGTGGAGCATGTTTACAGTTGGCACAGCCCAGGGAAGGAGAAAGATGAGAAGTGGAGAAGTGGTTAATGATCACCCTGCTGCTGTGCTGATATTTGAATGGCTTGAGGGCAAGTTCAGCCTTTTCAGAGAAGGAATGGAAGGGGTTTAGGATTACAGTTGCCTTCCATGCTTGCTTGGATCATCTGAGGCTTCCAAAGACAAAACAAGAAAAGCAGGGCCTTCTTTGATAAGGCTCATGTGACCAATTAAAAAAAAAAGGGAGGAAGACACAGCTCATTAATTTTGGTTCCCCTGCTTTATGTAACTTGTGTGAAGGATTTCAGATGGTGAAGGTAATTTACTGGCTGTGTAGTCTGTAGCTGAGATTTTACTCTGAATCTCCCTGTTCACCCAGCCCCAGCTGCTCATGAGGAAATGATCCTGTAGCAGAAGCTACTGCATGTGAAGGTCACACTTCAAAGTATGTGAGAATCAAGCCTGTCTTTGTAAAACTTTCCCATCATTACTTTTAGTGCTATCAAAGATATCATCTTCAAATCTCATAGCAGTTCAGGCACTTTAGATAAAATATTACCAAGCTTTTCTCATTATTTGTTTTTACGGTCTGGATAAACATATTTGACCAACAGAAAAATAAATATTTTCTCAAACAGAATTTTCCCTGGGTTGATAAAGTTGTTTTTCATTAGAGCCATTACATGTTAGACTGAGATGAAAAATTACAGATTCTTATGAACATTTATAAAGGTAAAATGAAAGTGTGTTAAATATAAAAGTTTAAATTTAGATTAGGCATACATTTAAATGCTACCGTGCTTGTTTGCTTTATTTTAAATAAAAGGCTAGTAGTTGGTTTTGTAAAAGGCTCCAGAAATGAGAAGTTATGTCTGTATATTTGATTTACCTGTAGCTCCTGATGCCTTTGTACCATCTTCTGTTATTTCAATCTCTGCTTTGTGAATAGCTTCCGAAATGTAAAGACTATCTTGATCTGAAAAAAACCATGTTAATAGTTATTTTCTGAATTCCATTACAAACTTATTTTTAAAAGTAATCAGAATGCTTTTGCCTTTTTTTCCTGCAGAATCTAAGGATCATATAACTGTTAGGTATTTTAACCACCTAAACTGGTTTTCCCCTATATGGACAACAGTGGACTGAATGCTGGATGGGAGTTACTAGTTTGAGAGGTCTCCAGGTTGTGGTAGAAGGTAAGGTTACATGGTGAAAGTAGAAACTAATTAACGCAGTGAGGACGAGGCAAGAACTGAGGAACCATTGAAAGGAAAACAACAGGAAAAAAATGCTCTTCAGGAAGAAACAATGGGACTGTGACATAAAATGGAGCTTGGAAAAAAAAAAAACTATTTCAGAAAGCTACTGAGTATTACAAGCCTGCTTCTCTCCAGCTGACTGTGGAGGGCAGAAAGCAGGGAAGGTTGGCAGACTTTTTTTCTTGTCAAATACTTCTACAAGCCTTATCCTCTGATGGAAGCTACCAGTGCGCGTACAGAGGAAGGAAGCTGCTAAATTATATTGGTTATGGAGTTAATTTCCTCCAAGCATGTGTCTTATTTAAATAGATATTAACTTTATAAAATACATCTTTGCACACTTCATCAGTATATTAATATTTGTTTGCAATAAACAAAGCAGCAGGCTTTAACAAAAAAGTGAGCAGCAAAATTATTTTAATGTGCATCTCTTTGCAGTCTGAGATATAGAACATAGCAATAGAACACTGCTATGTTCAATTTTAAAAGTGGCATGAAAAACTCCGTGAGAAATGTGCCTTCTGAGGTTCATCTCAGGAAAGTAATTTTTCTGTAAGAGCAGGTTTGAACGGAAGGAATTTCAGTTATTCACTCACATGCACAAGAATGTAAGGTGCTCTCTGGGCTGCTACCACTCTGAGTCTTTAGTATGAGCAGAAATGACTAAGGTGAAAATCTTTGTGTTGCTGGAAGTAGTCGAAGAAGAAAGAAAATTGATAACTTGGATTCTTTTTGTATTTAATATTAAATAGGGGCAAAAATTTTCCAAGGAGCAGAAGAATTTCAGGCTTCCAAAACCAAGAGTTTAGTCATAACAACAGTATTTTAGGAAAGGAAAGTATAACTCCATCCACTGGTCACTGGATTAGCAAGATAACGTGACCTGGGCGTATACCACTACTGTTTGTAGTGTTAGGAGCTGAAATACAGACTTGTTGGTCCAGCATCCCTTACTGTTTAATGACTATTTAAAAACACAAATAGGATGCTTTAGTACAACTTGCATTCCTAAATTTCTGAATAAATAAACATTTTTCAGACCTATGCCATCTTGACAGTTTTAATCTTAAAGAAATCAGAAGGAAAAAGTAAGCTCAAGACCCAAACCAACCCTCTCCTTTTCAGGTTCTTCTTTTCCACAAAAAAGCTCAAAATTCTATCAATTGGCAAAATTGATAAAATCAATTGATAGAATAGAGAAGTTGAGGTGTAAGCTGTGTTTTGGAATTTCGCAGAGAAAGCAGTGCAATTAATTCAGATTACTCAGGTCTACCAAATCACTCAAAGGTAGAAGTCTACAACTGTTGGGTCGAGGATCATTTTGTATTTAGTCAAGTCTCTTACCTGAAATGCCTTTAAAATTAGCAGTGATGGGATCAAATGCGTCTTTAACTCCCAAGGCAGAAAAAACTGTCTTTAGGTCAAAAAGGCTTTGAATACTGAACCTGAAATTAGTATGATAGATTTTATTTAAATGCTGGATTTGTAGTTTCGTAGAGTTAAAAGCATAACAGATGCGATTTATTGCAAGCCTTTCCATTTCATCCATCTATTCCTGTATGAGACCAGTGCGTGCTGTCTGATTAAGTGTACTTTGCAGAAAAGGACCTCATCTTCACCTGAAGTTGTTAATAGAAGGAATCCCTCACCACCATCTGTTGCACTCACATTACCTTTCAGTCTTCTTGACATATGAACTCTGCATTTTCCCAAGTTTGGCTATAGCAAATGGCACTTCGAACCATTTGCCAGTGATTAGCTTGGAGAAAAAGAATATTAATGCATAAACAGTTTCTCAGGGCTTCATTAATGTGATGAATGCATAGTAAGAGATGTGTAATGAAGTCCTTCCCTGCTGATCCGTACAATAGGTACAGCCACAAAAGGCCTCCTGTACTTGCTTCCTCCTGCTATGCAATTTCAGTGGAATAGATGATAGAAAGTACCTCCAGGGTGTGTGTGTTTGCTAACAACAGCAAATGGCTAAAGTGGAAAAAGAATGATGTGAGCTTGGTTTGTGCATGGAAAAGATGGGTATGACTATGAGGGTAGGGGTGTGCACAACTTCTTTGTACAGTGCCTTTTTGTAGTATACTGACAAGTTTAAAAAACACACAGTAGTGTGTATTTACAAGGTTATATATTTTTTTTCTCCCTTAAGCAAAGAGAAAAATGGAGTGTGGGAAAGGTCCGGCAACATATCTCTTTTAGGTCTTTAAAGGATTGTTAATCCCTAACAAATTTTGAGTAAAACCTGTAGGATCAACTGCAATACTTCATTTTTTTTAGACATTACAGAGCATACCAGGAAGTCTTGTCATTCCCAGCTCACCTGTTTGTGCCTTAAGAAAGGCCATCTCTGATCGTGAGATGAATAACAAAACAGAAAGCATGTCACTTGATTTTGCTCACACATTGCTCGTGAAGGTGCTATCACATGAAATTCTGACAGTTGAAGTAGTGAAGCTATCGTGCTAACATTGCTTACCTAGGTAGAAAAATATCCATCTTTGTTCTCTTTAAGCTGTTGGCCCAGAGGGTTATGTCTTTGGCAGAAAGGTGAGACTCAATCTGGGACAAAGGTGTTCTTTTATGGCTGGGAAGCACTAGGAACATGCTGTGTTTCTCCCCCAGGTAGGGTAACTCGACCACACTGAACGCTTCCAGAGCCGCAGTCTGGAACTGGCCTGTGGGTGGGCAAATGTAGACCTTATTTCATCATCAAAGTGGGAAAACTCCCCCCAAACCCACAACCCCAGCTAGGGTCAGCAGACAGTTCAGAGCAGCTGCAGTAGGATTTAAGGAATTGTCTCTAGTACATAGATTCTTGTAGCCAGCTCAGGTTGCTGTTAACTCACAACAGTCTCATCTGAACAGAGCTGATTGTGAGAGAGACGTATGTATCTTGGCAGAAAAGTGCTAGAGCAAGTAATAGTAGCCGAAGCAGTGCCTCAAGAGAGCATGAGTATTTTATTACTTTCTCATATAATAGCTGTCCTCCTTGCTCAGGGTTTAAAAAAATATTACCAAGGCAATGACAGTAACTGTGATGACTCGTCCTGCAATGCATGTTCTTTAACTAAAGATGCAATTTTATAATATCTTTCACTAAAATTTTAGTGCTGATAGAAGTTACAAAAACAAAATGGAGTATCCTAGTTAATTAACTGAAATCTACTTTGCCTCATGTTTCTGTCTTTGTGACTTTTAAAAATCAGTATTAGCCTTATTTAAAAAAAAATAGTTATATTAAACAATAGCTTATGCTTATTTAAGCATCATATTTATAATTTTTGAAAATCTAGGCACAAAAATCTATCAAAATCAGATGAAGGTTATAAAAACTAGTCTCAAGAGTAAAAGCTGGAGGGCTTCCAAACTTGCAATTGGTTATACAACAATTTGTAATAACCATTTTAAAGTACCATTTTAATGCCATTTTTCAAAGAACAATTTTACCAGGCATTTCTAATGGACTCTGTTACACAGTAGAACAGATTCCACTATCACAATTTTAGCTTCTTATTTTTCCATCTGAGAATCCAATAAATAGCATTTCAGGAACATTCAGTACTAGTTAGCAGACCAGGAGTTAAATGCAAGCTTAACATCTTATTGTTGCAAGCAAACATCTTATTGCCTTTGCTGCAGGCTATCCAAAATACTCAATCTACTCCTTCTTCACCTGGCTGTAGTACTTGTAACTTCAAGGTGCTCACACTTTCTGAACCAGGGGTTGTAAATAACAGAATATATGTAGCTTATGTTCATAATATCTAAATATTCGGCAATATTTACATAGCTGTAGGATGTCTCAAATACTTAGCATACAATATTTGTTAGTGTTGCAGATGTGAACTAGATAGGATTCGTAAAGTGTTGATTATTCTGCTAGATTAAATCTTAGGCTCTTAGATGAGCCCTCCTGCCTTGCACCATGGAGAGAGAATTGCTCTGTTAAAACTAACTCCCAGCATGTGGATCATTTGCTGGGAAAAGATGTTCTGCTTTCCAATGGGCAAACAAGGAAGATTTACATTTGTAGTGCACTGGGCGTGAGTGGTTTAATATGCGGGCATGCTGATATTTTGAAGTTAGCACATTCTGCGCAAAGGTTATACAGTGCTTCCTTATTTGTTAATTAGAAAGAAAATCAAAGACTTTATGCTATTGAGTCAGAACATTTAGCGTTCCTTGCTTGAACTGATTTTGAGCCTCCCATAAGGATTATACATATGCTAAATTAGAATTCAAATGTTGTTAACAAATGGCTTGGAAAAATGAATATGTAAAGTAGCTGCAGTGTTTAAGAGGTGTGTGTGAACAGTAATGTTGACATTTTCTTAAAGCAGTGTTACTTATCCCCAGGCTGGTTTGTTCTTTGTGGCCATGTTAAAAGGATAAACAATGTTGTGAAAGTTGCAGTTGGTAATAGGTTACAGCTAATCTTTCTCACTCTGTGCTTTGGATCCTGGTGGGAGACAGCTACTATCATTTAATAATGACAGAAAGTTATCTTGGGCCTCTGTTTAGTTATACTGAGCCAGTCTTTTGCATTTATTTCAAATTGATTTGTTAGAAATGTTTCTGTCACTTTTAGTGACAAAGACTGAATGGGCTCAATCAAGCCTGACAATCAGCAAATTTTAAATGATCCCTTTCATTTTGGCTTTCCTTAAAAGTCTCTCCAGCTGCAAAAAGCTTACATACTTCAGGCTGGATTAGTATTTTGGCTAACTTCCTTTTCTGTGCAAATATTTAGTGCTTCAGCTACCTACTTAAGGACGATAGGATGGTGTTCTTGTGTTCAGGCAAGTGGTTAAATAAGCAGAACTAACGATTTCACATCAAGTTTGCAAGGATTCTGGTGCAAATATGGGGTCAGACAATGCAGTTCAGCTGCTGAATTCCTGGTCACTGGCTTTCCCTGACTATACCCACCTGTATAAGCATTGGCAGCCCCCTGCCTTCTGTTGTTTTGGACCTCTCATTTCTTTATTTCTCTCTGCTAAAAGAGAAAGTTCGGAGAAAAGGTTCATTCTTAAGGTAATAGCTGTATTTGGTGAGCTTCTTTTGCCACGTCCTTCTGAAATACGTGGTGCTCACCAAGTATGTTCCCAAGAAACCTATTTGTTTACCTCTTAAAGCAGTGAAGGGTAAGGCTGTTCAAGACATCATGGGTAGCAAAAGCCCTTGCTGTGAGCTGGTGATACAAAATCACCCAGGACTGAAAAATCGAGTTGATGTAGTTCATGTTGCTCAACAACAAGGAAGATGAGGTGTAGGGTTTTGGAAAGGGAAACTGCACTCCTCACTAAAGTAATTTAACTTGTAAAAGGTTCAAATGTAAATAGGATGGGAGTGTGTCAAGTCAGAGGTGTGAATGTGGTCAGGAGCTGGCAGTCCCAGCAGGAGGAAGAAGCAATGGTGGGCACACCATGAGTGTCTGGGAAGAAGAGATGCCACAAAGAAAGATGTAACTGTAAGGACAAACTTGCAAAGAGCAGAAGAAATTATTTTTTGACCAGGTGGATTATGGTTTAGAGATAAAAAGGCATAGAAATAACGAGCTGCTATCTGCCTACTTAATGTGACTGTTGCACAGCAAAGGAAAATGTTTTAGCCATATAAGCTATTAAGACATATAAACTATTAGATATTTTTTTAGATTCGTGCCAATTATTTGTTGTAACCGGTGGCAAAGAAATAGTCTGATGACAGAGCAAAAGATAATGGTGAGATTCCCAATGGAAATGAAGAAAAGAGTAATTACACTGCCAGAGATGGAAACAAAGTTCACGTTACTTGACATCATAAGTTCTCATCACATTAGAGAGATGAATAATAATCTGGAGCCTGGATGATCGCCACCCCAAAATATGAGAAGAACTTGGATTTGGAATTGCAAATAAGTGAGCAAAAATTTTAATAGACTGTAAATTCAGTTGTTTCCCATGATTGGAAAAAAGGATTCATTTATAAAGAAAAAGAAAGTAATCTGGGAAGTTTTAGAAAGTCCTCTGGAGAAAAGAATAATCAAGTCACAGAAGGAAATAAAAAGTGAGATAAATTGCAATATAAAGTAAACTAGCAAACAAATCTATAAACTTTTTTGGCTCAGTAACTAATTTGATAAAAAGGCATAGATCCAGCCATCTAGTTTTAAATAAAACAGCAAATATAATTTCACTATGGCACTATTTACAGGTAAAAGTGATGGCAATCAGAGCAGGAAAAGAAAAGCAGCAAGCAGGTACTTAAAGCAATGTAGAAGAGGGGCTCCCAGGTTGAAAAGAGTTACTAGTGGCTTTCCAAAGTATTGTCCACACTAAGACTTTCATCAAAGACAGTGATTTGCCATGACGACTAGCGTGGTGGAAATCAAATGGTAGAGATTTCCCCCCCTTCCCCTTGAGGACTCATCAGCTGGAAAAAAATGCAGAAAGGAAAAAGGCCCAGGTGGGACCAACCTTGAGTAACCACCCTGAGCTGGTTCTGTGCTACACTATGCAAGGTACTTTTAGGAAGACATAGAAATACTAAAATCATTTTAGCAAGCATGAATACAGCTTCATTAAAAGTGTTGTGTACATTCCTGATCATTTATTCTCAAGAAAGATTGATTTAAATTTGGAAAAGTGCAAAAAAGAACTAGTAGAGAATTGGAGCCTCCTTTTCGAATAGCTTAGATGAGCCAGCTGCTTCAGTTTATCTAACAGGAAGTTGAGAGACAACTTGGTGACTTGCAAATAACGTTTGGGAGTAAATATCAAAGCTGAAGAGAAACTATTTAACTTAAAGCTGGCATGATGTTAAGAGATATAAATCGGTCTTGAGAAAATTTGTACTTGGAATTAGGGAGGTTTTTACCCAAGTGCACTTCTGAAATTTAGGGTAGAAGGGAAAGGAGCTTTTTATATTTTGAAAGAGATTGTATAGCTAACTGGCATAATTCCTGTTGGTAGAAAATTAAGCCTGCAGCATAAGTCCTCTTGTCAGCAACCCACATACATCAAGCCTTTGAAAGTAGTCTACACTGTATTCATATATTATAAAAATAAAAGTTTGACCTATATTTATAGTGGTTTAAACCTGTGCTGAAATCACTCACTGATTTGGTTTAAGCACCATAAAAAATTATCTTTTCTTGCAGAATTTGGCCCTGAAGATCTGAGGTTTTACCCTAAAGTCTTGGAAACAGGCTGTGACTAGAGACACAGGAATGGGTGTGCAGTGCTGGTGTTCCTGGTTATGCCATCCTCCCTCGGTGCTCACACACTCAAACAACAAGCAGGGATTAGACTGAGGGGCCAGAAAATTTTTTATTTACCTTACAAATCAAATTGGCTTGATATAGTTTTAGTCTTAACTGCCCCTCTGTCATGGGTTCAAACGTGCTTCCTATGGTCCTCCTTTTCTAAGCAGCTTTATTTAGCAAGCTCCATGCTATTGTAAAGGACTTTTTATACTGTGGTACCCTCAGTCTCTTATGTTCCTTTCTCCTGGTCCATTATCTTGGTGCCTTTTGGTTGTTTGCTACAACTGACAAGTTTATTATGGAGTGCTAGGAGGTGTTGGTCTGTGAAGAATGGGACAGGGACAGTAGATATTTTAGGAACCATTCTGAATGCAGAATCTGTTTAATCAATGCTTGGGATTATAAGGAGTCAAGTTGGTCACCTAGGTCATCTCTTTGTTTGATGGGATTTCTTCTGAGACTTCTCTAAGCTAGGAAAATAACACTATCTTAGTGTGGTATTTGTGGAAAATAAATAAAGAAAACTGTTCCAGGTTGTACAATAGCTCAAATCTGGATTAAGGACAGTTACCGTAGTTAACTTCAGCTGTATGATGCATTGTGGGCACTTTCAGGGTTGAGCCCTCTGATGTGGTAAAAGGCAACATCTGAGTGTCCATAAGGGAAAACTTCTTTTGCCACGTGCTTCTGAAATACATGGTGCTCACCAAGGCAACCTGGCTGAGCGACGACCTAGCAGTCTCCAACAGCATGCCATGCACATCCCCACCTGCATGGAAAAGAGACAGGGAGAGGGACACGTGTCCTACTTGCCCAGGCCTAAAGGCCAGGTCCGTGGGACTAAATAAAGCAAGTCGGGACCACTCTCCATCCCGAAGGGCAAGAGGCAAAACTCATAAGGTACCGTCAACCCTCTACCTTCCCCTCCCCACATGTACATGGACCTCATCTGGATTGCCTGCTGGTCCCTGCTCTCCCCAGAACTGAGTTTGAGTTGGGCAATGTTGAGCGTCAAAGCTGTGCCAGCACTGTGCTACTTGCTGAACAGTGCAGATGACAGCAACCCAGTGTTCAGCACCATGCCCTGGCTCTAACTGGTGTTCTAGGTTAAATCTGCCCAGGTGTATCTCAGAGGTGTTCATCATTAGTACCAGAAATACCTCATGGCATGACTACAGACTGCTTTATGAAGTAACTAAGTCACTTGGGGCTTATATCCTAATTTTCCCCTTCTCCTGTTTACTTGTCAGTTCAACTGATCCTGCTTTGGGTATCTCAAAGATTTCTGAAAGAGTGATCTGCTTTTAATTCATTGATATTGCAATGTGAGCACTGCAATATGACCTCTCATTTTAGTACCTGCTTCTAGAGCAATACACTTCTGTCATGGAGCTGGATCACTTCTTAGTGTTCATTTGAGAAAGACAGAATTTTTTTTTTCGTTAGTTTCAACAACTTTAATGTGTGTATTTAACATCAGCTCATATGTTGCTGGCCAAATTAACATTCACATAAGTTGATGAGGCAAATCAGGGACTGCTTTGCTCTGCTGCTTCTTAGGACTTTCTTTTTCAATTATTTTTTTCATTAACACCGAATTTAATTTCATTACTTTTCTTGCTATGTGGAAAGTAAATTCTTTTTATTTCCCATTTTGACTTTTTAAACTCAGGGTCTGACTGCTGAGCTTATGGCCCTGCATGTTCCCCATAGCACCATGAAAGCATTCAGTGCCACAAACATCATCCCTGGGGAATCTGGCTGTTCTCATTAAAAGTGAAAACACTGCAAAGGATTGCCATTTTAAAAATTAGAGGAATGAGACCAACTGGTTACCAGCTTGATACTGCAAATTTATACTCGCAGGTTCAGACCTATTCCCACTCTTTCTTCACGTTAGAAATGAATGTCAGCACAAGAATTAGGTTTTCTGGCTTTCAGCCTTGGTTTGGACAACACAGTGTGGCAAAAAACTGTACTTGGTTTAATGCAATTTCTCTCATCACTCTTATTTTACATGTTATTCATGTGCATTCTTGTAGGTTGCTGTGTTACCTGCAAGGTTACTGGTGATCCATTCCTGTATTTGGGCCCTGGTTCTGTTGGGGTCAGTAAAGTTGGTTTGCTGCAGGCTGCTGTTCGCCCAGCGTGCGGCATGTGCAGTGAAGTGAGGCGAGAGCTGCGTGCCAGCATCCACAAAGAAGGAACATGCCAGCTGAACCACTGTGCCTTGGCTCGAGTCGGTCACTCCTTCATACACTGCGCGCAAGAAGTCCTGCGCGCTTTGATCTGCCAGGCGAGAGAGAGGGAGAAACTGCAACTATCATGTTGAGGTTAAGGATTGCCCCAGGGCTCCACAGCTCTCTGCTCCAGTGCTGGCACTGGTGTCCTCTGATTGTTAAAGCACGGAAGCACCCTTGACTTTATGGAGCATTACTGTCAAGCACTACTGTTGAGGGCGATGATGCTCTAGGCATGGTAAAGCACTCTTCATGGTGCTGTAGGAATCACTCTAGTGCAGATGTGTCAAGCAGCTGAACTCACATCAGGTTCACACCTCTATGCAAATGCACCTCTGAACAGTTTATAAGGTACATTATTTTTTGGTTTTGGACCCTCTCTGAGTTCCCGTTAGTGAGATCTAGTACCTCTGGCAGTGACTGGCCACAGTACCACTGTCTCCTTCTCTTACCATTATCCACCTATCCCAGGAAAGGCATCTCCCTTATAGCCCCAGGTTAGTCTGCTGCCCTTGGCCCCTAGCCATTGTTTTCTTTCTTGAAGGATAGTGTCCCAAACTGGCCCAGTATTGGTGATGAGCCCTGGCAATGCTAAACAGAACTGATGGTTGCTTCACATGTGTTAGAAGCAACTCGTCTATTCATACAACCCACAACCATGTCTGCTTTTTTTTCAAGTACAATTGTATTTCCCATTCAATATTATTTTCTTCTAATTCCTAAGATCCCTCAGATCCTTTCCAAAAACTACTATTTTTTGACTCATGGTTCCCCAATTTGGATGACTGATTATTTCTTGTAAATGTAGAATTTTGCACTTGTCCTTACTGAGTTGTATCCTATTCAGTTCACATGTTTCTATGACTTTCCAGGATCCTTTTAAATACTATTCTGGTCCTCCAAAATGCTTGTAGCAATTACAAGCTCAGTGTCATTCCAAAATTCAATAGTGTATTCTTTAGTTTGCTGTCTACTAATGGAAATAGTTGAATAATGCCCTGGTCTCCTGTTCTGAAAAGCTCATAGTAGTTCAACGGTGGTGGCTTCTGTGATGGATACATGGTTGAGGTGTGAGCCCAGAAGGAACATGAGTCCCACAGACTCAGAGAATCCTGTGTTTTTAAAATCACTACGTTCCCATAGACTCCCTTGAAGGGTGATTTAGGAGCCATTATTTTTCTCAATTGCAACGATTTGTGATTGAATGGTTCATGCCAAAGTGACCTCCTGAGGCCTGGGACTCTCACCCATCTGAACAACGTTTATGTGCTCTGTGTCAAATCTCCTCAAACTTCCTGTGTTTGCAGTTCAGCCCCTTTCCTATATATCTTGTTGTATTTTGGAGGAGACTTGCCTATGTCCAGATAATAAAAGTTGAGATTGCTACTTGCCTTTAAGACCTTTCCAACAAGTTCCTCATTCTATAACTAAGTTTTCAATGAGGACTGGGAAATGTCTGGAGTACTGCTTTTCTTTAGCAAGACATCAGTCCCTTTTGGCTTTGTGGGACCACCAGGAACTTTCAGATTTCACCACCTAGTGCCCCAATATCTATGTGAAACCTCAGTAGCTCACTGTTGTACATGAATTCCTTGCCACCATTTTCAAGGTGGGTTAGTAGTGTGTCCCTTGCTGTGGTACTTGGCTCAGGTGCTCCTCTGCTTTGGCTTGAAACCCTGGAATGCCCTGGGCAGCTCATAGGTATCTGGCTCCCCATGGTCATGGCTGAGCTCACCATTATGGCTGGTTGGAAATCTCTTAGTTTTGAGTCAAGAGGCCTTAGGCAAAGGGAGTGATCACTCAGTTTCTCCAGTCACCTGTGGATGTGGGCAGAACAGGAGGGAAGTCGGGACTGCCATCTGGGATGTGAGTGTTTTGGGGTGGCTAACCAGGGAAGTGAATCCCACATGGACTGACCTGTCCCAGGCTGATCAAATTAAGGGTCCCAGGTCAAGGGCAGGATAACCATGAGACTCCAGCTGCCAGACAGGTCATCAGGACGCTTTTACTGCATTGTTTCAGATTCTTCATGGGGCAAAAGAGAGTTGCACATCTATTGATTTTTACCACCTGAGAATCCAGTGTGTGTTTTCTGACCTCATAATACTACTTTAAGTAGCTAACCTGGAGGAAGACTAATCACCTATGGGAAGTTTGGTATTAAAATTTGGATCTATCACTCTATAAGGGGTAAAATACTGAACTCCTTGAACAGATGTCTAGAAAACTCATGTAGTCTGAGGTGTAAAGTGCTTTCCTTGTGTGTTCTGTGTTAGTGTGGGAGCATCTGACGAGCACTCTGGAAGATGTGAGAAATCAAGGATGGTAAACTGGAAGTAGATGTGGATGTGAGAGGTGGTATCCCAGACTTGTAACTTCCCCAAAGTGCTTAGCTAACCAAAGTCCTGAATTCTTACTTGGAGAAGAGCTCGAAATTGCTTTAAAATACTCTATTGTTAATAAAATAAATCAGCTAGGAGAAAGCATTTTAAAGCATGTCATTTTGTTTGTTCTGTCTACAGATACATCCCCTTATGCATTGTTTTTCTTAGTATTAGAATAAAAGTGAACAAATCTTCCAAACATTGAAAGAAGATTACAAGTGCATGTAAGAGCAGATTCTCTGTGAACAGTGAATAAACCATCAATGTTTTCATTGTTTTCAATCTGCTAAGGTTTTAACCTCATCCTTCATTATTGTTTAGGGCAGACCAACAAAAACATTAATACAAACATTAAGTTGAAGAAAGGGATTTTATCACATATGCATACCTATATACTTTGGTTTTACTCATCTGATAGGAAATTTCATCTCAATATTTGATTTATTTATTTTACTTATTTATTTGATTTAGACCATTTGAGGAAGTGGTTTCCTTCCCCATTACTGGAAATATGCTGTTATAACCAATAGCAATAGATCCCATCCTACTTTATTTTCACATTCCTGCATTAATATTACTGAAAGCAAAAGCTCATGTGGCTTGTGCCACAGACAGCTAAAATGGAGATATAGTGTCTCCCTGCTACAATGTGCCACATGAGAACATAAAAGACCTAGCAAGTCATTGACAACCTCTGCACTTCTCTTTGTTACATTTTCTGTGGAGATCTGTGCTTGAATTTCACTGTGAAATGTTATTCTTTAAGGTTCTTTCTTAATAACTGAGCCCCTAATGACCAGAAGTATCAAGCAAGGTATAATCCTTGTATGAATTAATGTTGTTTAGGAACTGAATTTACAGAAATAGGAGTATTATAGGCAAGAGTTCATTGTATCAGCTGCTCATAATATAGATGCACTGTTCCTATGGCAGTTCGTGTAGCTGATAGCTGTATCTCTATTCATCAGCCAGAGTTAGCTCCTACTGCTGTGTTGGTTTTTGAATATTAATCTTATACAGAATGGTGATGGTAACTAAGTCAGGTTGCAGCACAGGAAGATGAAATTACTGTAGGTTTTATGTTTAGTTTTCATACCCTGAAAGTGAATTTTATGCTGAGAAATAGCAGTGTCACGTCTATACATAAGTCTTGTATATAAGCTGCAAATTTTGAAGATGAGGCAGTCATCTGCTTTTCATAAACATTCTGCCCATAATGTAAAATAGTTTTTGACATGTGATGTGAGATGGTAGGATAATCCAAAGCTAAAATGAAAACAGCATCCTTAAATTAAGCTGCCTTAATGCTGGATTTAAAGACATCTGTCTTTCCCATATCCCTTCCAAATTCCCAGTGAGTTTTATTTTAGCCTGCTTTCAGGGAAAGATGCAATTGCACCATCCATCTGTCAATGTGTATCTGTCTGCCAGTCTCCTTCTGATAACTTTTCATCTTTTTGGCCAGTTGTAATAACATCATAAGTCTTAAAGATAATTTAACTTCTATAGGTTTCATTTGTTAATGGGATGGGAGAGAAAACAACTCTCCTCTGCCTGGCACCTCTTTGCAGAGCACACAGGGGACAGCAGGGCACAGTGGACACGATGAACCTCTAGGAAATCTGGAGCAATTCTGCTGTTCATGGAAGCGTCTTTTCTAAATGTAGCTGTATTTTTGTGCCATAAGAGAGTAAGCACTGATTCAGGAAAAAATGGAACAATAACATGTATATCAACTACTCCTTTGAGTTTCCTTTGTTCAGCTGATACCTGCCTATCAAAGATGGAGAAAACACTCCTAAACTAGATCTTGCAGTGAGACAGAAAATGGAAGTTTAATATGACGTGTCCCATTCCTGTCTCCTTATTAAGCTGTGAATTTATTAAAAAATGTAAGACAATAAGTATTTTTTTTAAGCAGTACATACCATGAATGTTGTATCCTAGGGCATCCTGCAGCTCTATAAAGGTATTTCCTTGCGCTCCAAACTGCAGCAGCTCCAAAGAAACAGCCACACTTGCTGGAGAGACTACCAGATTGGTTCTGTTCTCTGCTTCAGATATATGCCGGTAGAGATTGATGGCGAATTCAGTTTTCAGCTCTTTCAGCTCATCATAGGAGATGCAGTTTCCTTTGGTTAAGCAGCAGGCAGAGAGGATAAATGCAGAGAAGGAAATGGGCAACATGAAGGCAAGCTGGGAACACTCTCCACCAGGTAATCACACCTGCAATTCATAACACAGATATATTTAGAAAAGTAATAGGCTGAGCTGACAGAGGAACTTTCTCATTCCATCAGTGCTGACATATCACTTGTAATAGTAATGATCACTATTAAAATACTTGTCCGGTTCTACTCAGTAGCTGTTGTCATTAAAAAAAAAGAAAATAAACGTAGGGACATGCTGCTGACTCCGTTGACTAACAAGGATCGAATTTTCCAGAATGCTGTAGCATACAGGATGGTTGGCCATTACAGAGCGCCTTGTCTCCCTTGTGTGGAGACAAAGAACCCCTTGGTTAAAAAGTTAGCCACCTGCACACATGATGACTGCACTTCAGTGCAGTCTCCATGCTGCTGAGCACCCATAGCTCCTTTCTGTCCCCAGCACTCCCAGAAGAAAGGCCACCCGTCGTGAGGTGCAGAAATCTAACTGGATGCTCCAGGCTGGGCTTTAGATCCAAGTTTACAAAAGGCTGGCTTCAAATTTCCCCCACAGATATTCCTGCTATGAAATTTATCCCAGTGAAAATAAGGTTGCATTTGCAAAAGGTTCTAGTGCTTGCAGCACAAAATCACCATGTCGGATTTTTATGGGAAATCAAGCATTGGTCAACTTTATATTAAGAGACACTTAGATTCATATTTAAAGGAATAATGCTAAAATGACAGAATATCTTTCCTTACAGAATTTCAACTTCTGAAGATTGTATGCAAGTATATTTTAAAAATTACTGCACCTTCTTTCACCTCAGGATTTTCTACAAATCTTTCTCCATGCCCTTTGCTCTAGAGAACACCTCTAATGCTTTGCATTTACTCACAGTTAAATTGTCTTGCCTTTCTGTGTCCTTCTGTGTGTCTGAATGGAAGCTGTCTATGAACGTCTTGTCTCCTTCTTTAATAGGTAGTGGAGTAAAGACTAAGTCATGAGACTGCATTTAAAGGGATAGTCAGTGATCAGAGTCTCTGTCGGCGATGTCTGTACCACTCTGTCCAAATTCCTGTAGGCTACAAGCTCTATGGAGAGCCAGGCAAAGCAGCATGCCACTGACCAGCAAATCCAAGGCAAGGAACAAAAAGGTACACATGGAGATAGAGTCAGCAACTTCCTTGCAAGCCCTGCTGGAGCCTCATGAGACTTGTGACCTGCTGGTACCGAGCAAGGCATCTCCTATCTCTCTTCCCACCCCCCTCCTTCTTTTGTATGAATTCCATTGATTCCTCTGCCACAAAGGGGAAGAGAAAGGACTCTCTGTGTACCAGGCACACAGCTATTTTTTTACCCCCACTTTGAAAACTTATTCAGAAATCCCATGCAATTAAAATGTCTTTATTTCCCTTTTTTTTTAATTAATGCCATCCCAAATAGCTAGATTTTCTTTTACTCTTTAGTTTCCGGAAGGAAAGAAACAACAACATGGTACACTTGAAGGAGATTGAATAAGGAAGGGGTTATTTGAATAGACCAGAAGCAGAAGAGCTATGGTTGTGACTGCTCTAAGAGCAGTCATAGCTGCTCATGGCTTTCTTCATGTGATGGGGTCAAAAATCCTCCCTGTCACATTCACAGGTTCAGCCTCATAGCTTCACAATGCCAGTTAAAGCAAGCAAGATTTGGGCTTAAAAAATAATGTAAAACTGCACCTTATTGATCTTCACAGAGTTTGACACTATATATATATTTAGCTATTTCACAACATACATTCCTGTTGGAAGGAGACATTGGGAAACAGTTTATTACAATCAAGCACCTAATAAATTTAGGTGCTAGTTTCATCCTTAGCAGGTGAGGAACAGCCACACAGAATAGATGCAGATACTGGGGCCTGTTTCAGGATCCTGGGCTTTAGACCACATTCCTGCTAGGACTGATGAAGGGGAAAAGCTTGGTCAGTCATAGTCTAGTATAACAGGCAGGGATGTTGATTTTGCTAGAGATTTCAATAAAGTATCCTCATGCTGAAAATTACATTTGAGCTTAAGGGTTTGGCTGAATGAGGACCCCTCTGCTGAAGTTATTAACAGTGTCCACTGGACTGGAGTCGTATTCAGAGGGAATGAAACAGAGGCCACCAAGTGATTTCTCGAAGGGCTCAGAGCTGTCAACAGATAAATTAACTGCGGTCACTGGTGAGGATTATGCGTGTGGGTTTGATGTGATGTTCCCAGAGGCTCCAAACCTGATAAGACATTTCCTCGGTGCCCTGGTTGATACTATCCTGTGGATTTATTAAGATTTAAAAGAAAGATAAGGAGTCCCTGAAGGTTTTAGGCATTGCTGTCAAAAATTAACATTTAATTGCCACTTTGCGAAAATGTTGCTGTCGCATTTCTCATATTTATTTATGGAAGATGTTATTGAAAATTGCACCTGGTATAAATGTTGTGTAAAGCAGCATAGTTTCAGTAGGAAAGGGCAATATGTGTTCTGGGTCTTGTCTCATCACAGAGGGGACTTAGAAATTGGGGGGTTTGTTTCAAATCCTCCCTTTCTGCACGTACTTTAGGAAAGGAAAGATGTGGAGGAACCTTAGCAGCAAAAACAGGGTTTGCAGACAAGGAGGGAGGACTTAATAAAACTAAAACTGGATCAACACTTCAAAGCAGCCATGGGAAATAAGAAATATGCTTTACATATAATAAAGAGAAAAGAAATCCTTTGGTGAATGATGAGAATGATAGAAGGCAGTGGAGTAAGAAAGAAATAAGAATCAGTGAAACTACTGTAGCTGAAAAAAAAGCGATAAAATACTGGGGGAAGGTTGTGAATATTTATCATAATCAAGGTCAGAAACAAAAATTCTTACACCTGTTCAGTTTAGAAACCCAAGTTTTAAGTTTTCTTTCCCAAACTGGGATCCAAGGTTGACAACTGGGTGTCTGAGGAGAAGCTGGTGCCACATGAGGGTGAGTCTGAAAACTGAGTTTGCCAAGTGAGTCCATGGAGCCAGGAACTGAGCTGTCCAAATGACCATAGTCGGGGGGGGGGACTGCAAATCAAATAGGCTAATTACAGAAATCCTGTGTTAGAAATAGAGGTGTCCTGGACCTACTGATGTATTAGGGTTGTGCTTCTTTTGAGAAAGGGAGTTTCTGACTCTTTCTTAAGGATTCCAGCATTTTTATTTTTTTTTTAGAGTCTTCATATGTGCCTGTGTCCTAGTTTAGACATCACATCCTTCTTTGGTCTTAATCTGGCTATGCATCACAAGGTATTGAGGAACGTACTGATACATTTTCTGGAAACCATTTTATTTTCAAGATGCTGGAAATGCATTTAAAAAGGCATGCAACTGACTGGTCCCTAAGACAAGTCTTCAAAGTTAGAAAGGGGCAGAGGTAGCAACTGTATTTTGAGAAATGCTTTTTCACATTGAGATAACAGACTGCCTGTGAAGCAAGTGAGAAAAGGTACAAGCTGAGGATTTCTGGAGAAAACACAGCACAGGGGTGTGTGTGTAGGAACCTGGATCATGGAGCGCTGTGTCTCTGTGGATCTCTGAGCATCTACAAGTACAGCTCTGAAAACTGCAGAGGGATCCCAACGTCTCCATTCCCTCACTGAGCAGAAAAACCACGACTCTTTGAGAGGGAAAACAGCCCCCAAACAGGGAGAAAACTAGTGGAAAGCACTGAAGACAAGCCATAAGTGGTGACTGTTTTCATCATACTGTGTCTGCAGTGTGCCAGTGCTGTTACTGTATGGGCCCTCGAGGTCCTCCTGTGTGACCACGGCAGTGGACAAGGCGACAGACTGCTGAAGCACCCAAGCTGCTCAGCTGACAGATGCCTTCATAGATGGCTCTACAATGCCTGGTCCAAAAATATGCAGAAATAGAAAAAGATGAGGAAAAAGAAACAGTCAGAGGCAACTGTTCTTCAGAACAGCCTGCACGGGCTGCTAGGGACAGAGAGAGATTTCTTTGGAAACCTTTCCCCACAACCAATTGTTTCTCATCGGAGACTGGAGTTTTCTCTGATTTATTAATCTGTGTTCTAAGAAAACCAAGCCCTAGTTTGGTGTGGCTACTGAGAGGAATGAGGGAGCAGTTCAGCTTTTGGGCTCTAGCCAGTTTGGGCTTCTACTGCAGGGACTTTACACAGTGATCTGGAGCAGAATTTGGCCCAGGGAAAGATAAAAGATGAGAGAACCAGTTGGGAAGCAGGTTTTCCTCTTCAGAATCCTCTTGTTTGCTTTTATATGTCAGGTCAGTCTCCCATAATCATAGAATCATAAAATCATAGAATCAACTGGGTTGGAAAAGACCTCCAAGATCATCAAGTCCAACCTTGATAAACTTCCTTCCACTCTAGCACAACCCTATTATCAGTAGGATTACTGTACACTTACCCCTTCTTAAATGATAACAGAATTTAACCTTCTGTCTGCATCTGTTTTTTGTATGCTTGCTCTCTTTAACATATAGAATAACCCTGGGGAAATTAAATAGAATCCAAACCAGCTTCCTTCCTGCTTATATCTCTCCTTCAGGACCAGCACATTTGCTCTGTCAGGAAGGTGGTTCTGCTGAACCTCAGGATAAGAAAAATTTGCATCATCATTTTATACAGAGCTTATTCTATGGAGAGGCAGTTGACTGTGGAGCTGCAAAACTGCCCACTGTGCAAGTTCAAGTGAATTTTCTTACTGCTATCCACATGCCATGTAAAAACTAGCCCCACCTCTGCTTCCCCTGGGGTGGGAGGACAAAATCTGGCTCTTCAAAGGGTGACCACTGTGGAGGGTCATCTTCAAAGAAGAAGTCCATCTGCTCAGTGAGGTGTCATGGTTTGAGCAGATGGGCTTGGTGCCAGTGCCTGGCCAGCCAGGACCTGCTAGGGAGGTCATACAGTGCAGAATCCCAGAATGAAGCTCAATTCTGCAGGAGACCTCAGACCACTTCCCTCATACCCTCCTGCCCAGCTCCATGTGGAAAGAAGTGCTATTAGCAGCAATAGAGGCTTTTTGGCAGCTCC